CAGGAATTTCAAAAGCCCTAACATTTTTGCCACCAACTGTCAGTTACTCAGATGAGATGCTCCATGCAACCACTTCCTCCCCAGGCCTCCACCCCCGCTCGAGCAGCCACTAATCACGTGCTTGTTATTTCTCCCAACAGCGCCTAGGGCAAGCCAGATCCCAGCCAGCGAGAAGAAGCTGGATCAGGAGAAATGCTGGAGGGGGAGAGGAGGAAGGCCAGGTTCCTGGAGCCAGGTGCACAGTACCCCTTATTCAACGTCTGCCAGCGTGCATACTCCTGAGCAAACACAATACCAGAGCATCAGCCTCACTTTCTATTAGGAGGCTCCCAAGGCCCTAACAATTGATCCTGGGTGCTCGCTTAGGCAGCACATATACTAAAATTGGAACGATCCCGGGCTATGGGGCAATGGCAGAGCCATACTGGTGTCTCTCCTACTCCATTGTGTCCATAAGGCAGCGAGACTGCAATAGGCAGTGTTCAGACTGGGAGCTGCAGAAGAAAAACACAGCCAGGCGGTGACAGGGGCCCCCCACTCCCCACCCCGAGAACACACAGCCTGGATACTCAGCAGTCAGCAGGGTGCAGTGGGGCCAGTCCCATAGCCCCCCAGAGACAGCTTGCCACCTGCCCACCGCCATCCACAGCAGAGGCCCATCATTGCCTCCATGGCATCACAGAGGGTGTGCCAGCCGGCAGGAGGGTAGGCACACCCGTGAATGTAGCCAGGTGTGGGAAAGTGCCCACCAGGGCAGAAATGGCTCTTCTCCAGTGGTGTCACTGATGCTGGTCTCCTTAGGGGAATAAAATCCTTCTGAAGCTCACATCCACCTGTGTGTGATGAACTGCATACCCCTCTCTCCAAAGCCATTCCCAGGTCACCTGGCATGATGCGCCTCCTGTAGCTGGGCAGTTGGGATAATCCGGCACCCCAAAAGACCAGTGAGCCCCAGAAGCCTCGTGCGTCTTCCTGCTCCTGGGAACCTCTCCAGGGCCCTTGCTCATCCCTGAAGCACCCTGGGGCAGAGGAGAGGGGCAGAAGCTGTGCTGCAGACCTGCCCAGGGCCTCGCTCCTGAACAACACGGCTCCTGCAGTGTGTCCTCAGGCTGAGGCAGCAGCAGGGGGTCCCCACTGGCTCTCCCGGAACCTAGCCCAGCCCGTCCTGCCAGCAGCAGCTGGACCACCTGTCCTGCAGGCCGACACAACCTCCTCCGTCCTCGAGAAGCACGGCCACCTCCGGCAGGGATTCAGGGTTTGTTTTCTTAATGAACTGAAAACACTAACAGCGGAGCCCCGGAGCTGGCAGGGGCCTGCCCTTCAACGGCTGCTAGAAAAAATTCTCACTTTGAAATCTGGCTCTCCCATGCCCTGCACGGGATGTCAAAACAAACAGGGGCACTGGATCTGGATGGTGGGGACACAGGGCCCGCGTCAGGCTCAGGTTACAGGGCCAGTGATGGATTTAGCTATGGGATGTTTCAGTGCCCAACAGGTGACGAGATTCTGAGTTCCCCAAATGGCACAGCTGGCCTCTAATTAGCACCGTGCTGCAGCACGGTCTCTAGGGAATAAAAGGAGAAGCCAAGGGTAGATGCCAACAATACTCCCTAGGGACCTGCTACAGAGCTGGGATGGGGCAGGCATGAGAGAGAGCCGGGTCCTAGGGATTCCTGTCCTTGAGGGGATAACGTTGGGAATAAATTACTAACGTGTGGGGATGCTCAAAGAGATGGGGTTGCAGAGGACAGGAGGAAGTCACTGTGTCGGTGAGGGTTGAAGGATGGGAGATTATGGCCGGACACAAAGGAACTATTTGACCCAGACAGGAAGTCAAGCTTATAAGCAGAATGGGATGCAGCAGGAGGGGGCGGGGGAGGAGCGTCCCAGGTGGAGGGGACTGCGCAGACGCAGCCTGGGAGGCAGGGAATGGAAGAGTATGTTTAAGGAGGGTGGGAAGGGTGGTGTGGCTGGAGCGCTGGGCTTACAGGGCCACGAGAAGGATGAGTGCAAAAAGCGCACCTGCCAGTGTAGAAGACATGGGGCCCATCATGCATGCCCAAGCATCCCGCAGGCCGTGGGGAACGGTCCCTGCATCTCATCGGAGGCCAACTCCATCCGAGTCAGGGCGGCAAAGTGTGGCGCGTCAGCCAAACCAGGCCCACGCCGCCGGTTCTGTAAATGGCATTTTGTTGGACTCCAGCCTCGTCTGTTCATCGACGAGGCGTCCCTGGCTGCTCTGGTGCTGCGATGGAGGAGCAGAGTGGTGGAGACAGACTGTGTGCCCCGCCCCCCCAGCACTGAAACATTGGCTCTCAGGATCCTTGCAGAAAACCTGGCTGACCTCTAATGTCAAAGACAGACAAGGGCCAGGCGGGCTCTGGAGCAAGGAAGAGCGTGCAGCCGAAGGCCCAGCGTGCAGCCAAGGGACAGTCACCAGCGAAGGAAGCTACACTGGGGCAGCGCGTCAAAGCCCCCTTACGGCAGGACCCAAACCTCAGCAGCAGCAGGAAGACCTGCGAAAGGAGGCACAGGGCCTGAGCCTCTTGTCACAACCCCTGTGCCGGTGGGAGAGCCGATGCAGGCGGGCAGCTGCTTGCCCAGCCCCAAGCGCCAAAGCACAAGGCAAGCACCATGTGTCCTGGGCACCCTCTGTGGCAAGGCCAGAGTCACGTCAGGGAGGGCTCTGTGGCCTTCCACCCACCAGCGGGCCCTGGAAAGATGGGAGTTTCTGAATAACCTCCCTCCTTGGGAGGGAGCCACACTGAGTTCCAGGGAGGCCCATACTCGCTGTCCCCAGCCTCAGCACAAACTGTCCCATCATCTGCAAAGGGCCAGAGAGAAGCACTGACTTTGTCCGGGTCCCACCAAGCCTGAGACCAGGAGGCTGCTTTGTCCAGCTGAGGACAGCGACGCTGGCCGGAGGAGAGGAGCTGTTACACCATGCCCCCTGGGGACCCCCTTCCCACACCTCGCCCTTCCTGCAGAAGAATCGCTGTAGACTCTTAATCTCTGATACTTGGGGCCTTGCAAGCATCCAATGTTGAACTCAGTTTAAGAAACAGAAGCATTAAAAGTTAAACACTATCATTTGACAACACCGCTTGCTGCCAACTTGTACCAAAATGCAAACTTGGGGACTCCAATCTCATGCCAATGGTAGGCTTTATGAGGTCATTCCCATGACCCGGAATTTTTAGATGATTATTCAAACAAAAGCAAAATGAAACATTTCTCAAGGAAGAGACCATTCCCGAGCAGGGCTCTCAAACCTTGGAGAGGACATTCGCACACAAGGCCCCCACGCGATGGGGGTGTGGACCCAGGCTGGGAACGTGGGCCCAGCCTCCTTTCCCCAGTCTCTGTCTCAGCTACTATGGCTGGCACACAATAGGCTGCAAGTTCAGTGTGGCTGAACAAATGAATGAATGAATGAATGAAGAGGTGTGAGTCCTGGCTGTGCAGTGTACCCGCTCTGTGTCCCTGGGAACGAGCTCTAATCTCAGGGCCTCACTTGCTTCATCTGTAAAAATCCACAAAATTATTCACAATGCCAAGAAATTCTGCAAGAATTAAATGAGGCAATAAGCCCTCGGCACAACACCGGTGCATTCAAGATAACGGAATAAATGGTAACTACTATGGCTACTTCTCAGAGACGGCTCTAATCTCACATCCAAAAGATCGTCCCAGGTCTCACATGCTCCTGGTCTCATCAAAACCCTTCGTGCTGTGCTAAATCCCACACCCAGAGCCTGGCACGAGCAGGAGCACAGAAGAGCAGAAGTTAGCAGAAAGCAGCGCTGACTTGGAAACCCTGGCCCGGAGCAAGTGCCAGAGAGCAGAGGCTGGTCCCCTGTCCTGCCCGCAGGGGAGGCCACCCCCGGCACAGACCCCGGCCATCACCCTGTACCTGGCCTGCAGACCTAGGGGGCTCACCTGCGTCCGTGCCACAGCAAGTGGGGGTGGGAGGGCCCTGCATGGTGCGGAGGGCAGGTGCTGGCCCGGCCCCACAGCCCCGCTGCACAGACAGACCTCTCCCCCATTCCTTCTCCTGCCAGCTCTGAGCGGCATGGGCCTCCCCCGAGGCCACGTTCCCAGCCCTCAGCAGTAACAGCGTTCCTTTCTTCCTGCCCTTGGCACAGCTGCCTCCTCCCACCGCGCACTGCCCAACACAGCTCACGGGCAAGGCCACGGGGACAACACAGACCTTTCAGGGCCTGGGGAACGAGCCCAGGGCCTGGCCGGCCTCCTCACCCCAGGAGGAAGAGGAGCTAGCCTGGGCACCCCACCCCCACCCCCACCCCCCACCGAGTCGCATATGTCACTTGCCCCCAGCTATCTTCACAAACAGCCGTTTTTGACCACACTTAGTTTTCTCCAAATGAGGGAGAAATCTGACATCCGCCCCTCCCCGGTCTGCACGCCTTGGGCCAGCCTCCAGCTGTGTCCAGATGTCAACCCTCAGCTCCTTGCCTTGAGGGTGACAACCATTGGGAGGAGGGGCTGGGGGTTACCCCCAAGTCCAAGTTTCACCGCCTACCCACACTGGGGATCCCAGCCCTCACCTCCATCTGGCTTCCTCTCGCATGGGCCTATCACATACGCCCTTTCTTTCCATCTTTATAGCTTTCTATCTTTTCCACGTTCCATAATACTTATTCTCTATCAAGAGGAAAAAAATAACAGGGATTGCACTTCTCTCTGCCTCTCAAATACTTCAAACCACCTACACCTGATCAAGAAAGATGTGTGCATCCCACGTGGAAGTTCTGAGATAGAGAGAACAACAAGACAGAGCTGGA